AATGAGCTTCTTCATCATCTCCTCCAACCCACCAAATTGGCTCTCCATATGATTCTCCATGGTTGAAAATCTTCTTTCGATGGTTGATAATTTCTCCTCAACCCCAGATTTGAATTGCTCCATTTCTCCTTCCAACGCATCCACCTTTGCTGCAATTGTCTCCAAAAAGATTTTGCTTTGATACCAATTTTATGTGTTTTGGAAGTAAAAAAAGCAAGATAACAAGTAGAAAATTGTAGGAATTTGAAGATAGGGACGGATTTTGATTAATATTTCAACAATAATTAAAGATACTGTAAAACCCGAAAATCCTATTTTAGGCATCGCACGCTTTTTAAAGCGCCGCGACGAATTTTTAAGTAAAATTTTCAAGGTTATCGGAATGCAACGAAATTAATTTTAGAAAATTCTATGCGAAATTCTGATCGTTTTGGTATATAGAAGTTATACCGATAAAAATGAAAGAATTTGAGAAATTTTGGAAGATTTAGAAACTAGGGTTTTTGACCTAAAACCTTAATTTTGTAGGACACCTTTATGAAAATGATTCCTAAGGGTTTAGGAAGTGTTTTTAAAGAAAAATTTTAAGTTTTTAGCGAAAACTTTATTTTCTTAATTTTTAGGATTATTTTAATCCGAAAATTATTATTTTATTATTATTATATGTTAATGATCAATTTAGAATCAATGTTTGGATGAAATAGAAGATTTATGAATTTTCAAAATTTAGGTATTTTATTAATCCGAAAATAAATATTTATTTAATTAAATATTTATTAAATGTCGTATAAAAAAAAACGTTAAGGAAATATGATTGGTTTAATGATATGTCTTTTTGGAAACATCTATAGGTTCTAATCGTTAAGGAGGAAAGACCTTGTTGAAGCGACGAATTGTGCTTAAATTTGAGGTAGGTGTTCAGAAACAGTTAAAATTATAAATGCTTTAATTCTTTAGTTCATTTATAATTCATGTTTTTATTCAATTGAATTATGTTTTAAATTCAGTAACTTTTAAGTTTATGTCTTTTATTTGATTTCATCTTTTGTTATGCATACGAATCATATAAAGGGACATATTTGGGCATGAAATTTATATGAAAGTTTATGAAAGAAATTTTATTAAAAAAAGAAAGAATTAAGGGAATAGTAACCTTTCATGTTTGCATGTTGATCCGGATGTACCCAAATGGTAAAGGAGCTCTTACGAGCATTGGTAAAGGAAGGTTCTTATGAACCTATGGTAAAGGAAAGTTCTTATGAACTTATGGTAAAGGAATTTGGCCACTATTTGACTGCGTACCTGATCAGTACGAAATGGGGTACATTCGGGACGGGTGATTCATTAAGCATACATACTCTGCACTTTGCATTTCATATGAATAAGATTAAGAAAAGAAAGGAAAGGAAATGTTTATGTAAAAGAGAATGTTATTGCTTTAAGACATGTTTAAAGAATCAGTTTCTAATTAAAATAGTTTTATTTCAGCAATTATAAAGTTAATTGTATTATGAACTACCTGCTGGGCTTTAGCTCATTCCTCGTTTTGGAAATCTTTTTCAGGAGAAAAGTAATGGCTGCACGACGACCTTACATGTATCGTCGTAGGGGACCTCAGGATGAAAGGTTCCATTTATTTTATGTTTTAAGTCTAAGGTTTGAGTTAGTATCTGAGTATGAACAGTATGTAGAGTTTATGTAATGTTGACTCAAAAGTTTTTATTGGTATTGAGATAATCTGAACTGTTTGGGACTATCTGTATTTGATGTTGTTTTAGTGGCTCTTTCTTATTTATAGATGATATTTATGTATTGATGCTAATTCTATAATGAATTTGATTTATGTTTCTTATGCTCTTCCGTACGACCTTTTGCTCCCGCCCCGTTAACTCGGGCTAGCCGGGTCGGGTCGTGACAGATACAATTGATATACAATTTGAAAGGTAGATCAGCTCTACCACAAATCCTAAATGTTGTTAAGAAACTCATCAAGAGAAAAGCTATAGCATAAATAAATTGCATAATAAAAAATAATAACATAGTTATCCTTGAATAGGCTCTCCTACTTCCCTCCAAAATCAGCCCCCTTTCCTTAATTAATATCCTCTCAAATTTGAATTAGAAATTGGAATTCTTTCCCTCAATAATTCATTCTCAATTATAATTAAAAGTTTCCTAAATAACTTTCCCTAGATTCCTCCTCCTTACATAATGAATTATAGCTTTGTTGGGCTCCACCCGGGCTGTCGAAATTTCATCGAGTTCCGCCCAATCAAGGGGCTGGTTCGGCCTCTGCTGAATTGGTGGTTGGTTGGGTTGGTCCTTCCTAGTTAAGGTCGATGTGATGCGGACATCGGCACGAAAATCTGGCGCATCTATCACAGGAGGCGTTGTAAATCGACGGCTCTGATTTAAGTTGTCATTTATGAATTATTTTCTACATTTTAGTTTCTATTTTATGTTATTTCCTATTTTACCCCTAGGTTAATTTATTTGAGTGTTGTGGCCCAAGGGGCAATTTTGTAATTTTTTTTAATCAAGCCAGTGGCAGTGGAGGTGGAGGTCGGCCTATTGATAGGAACCTGAAGCTGTTTCAGGATATGAAACCTCCACTGTTTTCAGGTGGCAGACCTATAGAAGCAGAAGACTGGCTGATGCGGATTGAGAAAATCCTGGAGGGCATGTCTTGCCCTGAGGAAAGGAGGGTGACATTGGCTGCTTATGCATTTGATGGCGAGGCTGAGAGGTGGTGGAGAAGTCAGTTAGAACAAATTTTTGGAGGAAGACCAAGCAGCCAAGTCGAATGGGAGGAGTTTGTGAAGGTATTCAGAGATTGGTATGTACCTAAGTCAGCCAGGAGACAGATGCAGGACAAGTTCAACAGAATGGTTCAGGGAGACCGATCTGTTTCTCAGTACGAGGCAGAGTTCAGGATGTTATCCAGGTATGCCCCACACCTGATACCTGATGTTGAGGAGAAGTGCAACAGATTTCTGAATGGATTAAAAGATGTGATTAGACAGCCTCTCATTCCTTTTGGAATTGAGGATTACTCTGTCTTAGTGGAGAGAGAAAGAAGGATAGGTCTTCGGAAGAGTCCAAGGCTCGCGGTTTCTATCATTTTTATTTTCTATCTTTCGTTTTATATTTGTTTTGTTTTATTCCTTCTTATCGCTCCCCGTGGCCATTTTCATATTCTTCCTCCTCCCACAACCTCACGAACCAAGCTCCTTACCGAGCTCTCCAAAAGCCACCGGCCACCTCACCCATCATGCCGTCGGCTCCACCTCATTAGCCGCCGGCCGAACCTTCCTCTCCACCCCCTTTTGGATTTCCTAATTTGGTTGAGTTAATTTAAGGATTAATTTGAATTTGAAATTATTCAAATTCAAATTTCAAATTCTTTCCTAATTTGGTTCATCTATTTTAGGAAAGTACTTAATTTAAATCAATTTGAATTTTAAATTCAAATTGGATTTATGTCATTACTTTCCTAACTCATTAAACCAAATTATGAAGCCTTGAATACTCTCATCAAAACCTCCTTTGCCCATGCATGCCGCCGGCCCCCATGTGAGCCACGTAGGATCTATTTCCTAAGTGTTTCATAAACCCATTTAGAAATATTTTAAATTATTTCTTCCTTTTGTCTGTGGCCGAACTCCCCAAGACCCAGACTTTCAGTTCAAATTGGATTTAATGCAATGCTTTCCTAATTCCAATTTCCAAATCCGGTTTCCTTAATTAATCACGTTAACAACTCCTTGGCCCACTAAAGCCGCTGCCTCCCTTTTCTATGGCTTAGATTAGGAAATTTTTTTTTTCTAATCACCTTTTTTCTTTAAGACTATAACAGACGAAATTTTTTGGAGCCAAGCATTGAAGTTTTCCTTAAATTCTGGCAATGGAATTAGGAAATAAATTATTCTAAAATATTTTCCTTGATTCAAATCCCGTTGGCCTAGCTCTCTCTCACCGAATTCCAATAATCCTAAGCCTAATAACTGCTGTTTGGAAAGATCAAACTCCTGTCCAGCAGTTTTTTTCTACCCGAAATTCTCCTCTGTCATATCCAGCCAATGGTTTTCTTAAACCTAAGCCATACAGCTTGCTGTCCACCTATGCCAGCAAAGATACCCTGCTGTCCAACACTGTGGAAGACCTCGATTTGCTGTTAATTTCCCCACAGCTGACCACGAGATTCACCAAAATTCTACAGCCTTATTTTGTCATCTGTTCTCCCTATTTCCTAAGCTCAAAACTCTGAGAATTCTCACAGATTTTGGGAAGAAAATCTGAGAATTTCCAAATTCTTCATTCTCCCTTGCAAAGCAATTTTTCGTTCTACATCACGATGATTATAGAGTTAAATGCAAGTTTGAATTTCTTGTTTCTCTTAGGGGTTGTTTTATTGGCTAAAAAAAGAACGCAATGTAAAAGGAATACTTTAGAGTTGTTTGGATGAGTGTAAAGTAAATTTAGGTGAATAATTATTTTGTTTGGTTTAAATAAAATGAATGTAGTATAAAGTTTAAAGATGGTGGCAACCAACGGTTGGCGGCAGCGGAATACAACGGAGGAAAGTGACAATTGGTTGTGGTCAGGGGTGGCGGCCGGTGGCGGCTGGCGGGGAGCGGAGCCAGGTGACGGCCACGGTGGTGGCCAAAGGTGGTGGTGGTCGGCGGCTGACGGCGAGTGGTTGTGGCAATAGCCTGTGGCAGAGGTCAGCAGCGTTGGTGGTCGGCTGCAGGTGTTGGTGGCCGACAAGGGTCAAGCGAGCTTGTTTGTGGTGTAAATTATTCTTGCACAAAACTGATCAAATTTGGTTTACCTCTAAACTAAACTAGAATGTTTTACACTAATTTACTTTACAATGAATTTTATAAAATTCCTACTTTTTGAATTTCATATTATGACATGATAAATATTTCTTATTATTTCTCAATAAATAAAAATAAAAATTCCACTGTTACCAAAAAAGTAACAATTAGAAGCTTTACCTTTCCAACCGCACATTTGGCCTTGTAAACATATCCAATGGACCCCTATCCAAGAAGATGATTAGTGCTAAAACCTCCAGTGGCTGACTGCAAATCTACCAATGACATAGCGCTGGCATTAACTGGCTCCAAGCTTCTTTTTGAATTAAATTTAATTTTGAAGTCATTTTCGCTAACTGAACTGTTCCTCTCAGAAGTGGGAGGCTTGGAATTAAATTTAATTTTGAACTCATTTTCACCAAAAGAGCTGCTCCGATCAGAACCTGAAGGCTTCAGACCCAAAGAAGTAGATCTTGGTAGGATATTCATATCAGCTGCTGCTGAGGATCCCATGAACTTAAAATCTGCCACAACATGATACAATCAGTGCTAGAATTCTGTAAGACTAAGATGATAAGAAGACAATTAAACTTTGCTTCTCATTCGTAACTTATTGTGAACTTTACCAAAGGATGAAAGGAAAATAAAAATAAAAAGGAAAAGTTTGTAATATGCCAAAAATTGCAGACAGAATGCAGTAATATTGGTAAAAGAGAGCGCATACTGATGTAGATGCACAGCATCATATATGGCTCGCCATCCAGTACTTCATAGAGAAAACCATATGAGACATATGATCACAGGCCCTTCACTATCAGTTGACCTCTCCAAAGTGTAATTGAGATGAAGGAATTGTCTCAATTTTCTAATTTTCTTACCTTTTACAACTGCTGCATAAAAATGGCAATTATGCCATTCAAAATCCCAGCATACCCAATGGCCAGGCAAAGAAGCTGACTGCAACCAATTAACTTAATGCATTGACCCATGCTGTTGATGACAACTTCACAGAGGAATTAAAGAATGTTGTTTTTTGCCAAATCATAAACTTTATAAAACCTAGATTTTCTACTGGCTAGGATTCTTAGGAACATTGGCAAGTATGATCATAGCTCAAATATTGAACATTGACCTCCACCATCACCAGCCACTACCGCCTGTCACCACCACCATTCGTCCACTCATCACCACTTGCCACCTATTGTCCCTTGGCCAACACCATCATTTTACTTTACATTACATTATATTCTTTTTATTTCAAGCCAAACAAAAAAAGTACTATCATGCATTCCTTTTATACTCATCCAAATAATTTCAAACATTTTAAATATACAATATTCTTTTTTTAGCAGACCAAATTGTCCCTAAGTATAGACATGACACGCATTTTATATAGTTTGGGAATATTGACATGGTGATGAAGGAGCTAGCTATTTCGGTGAGGCTTCAGTACATCGGATGCATTAATAAGATCAGGGAGTAAGCAGTTTTGGTGAGGCTTTGGCAAGTTGAATGAGAGACACTAACTCAAGACAAAAAATTTATTTTAGCAAACAATGGTTGGCTATCCTTTTGACTCCTTTTAATTTTTAATAATAAATTTTCATGATTAATACTCAATTTTATAATTTAATATAATTATGTGTATTAACCTCATTTAAAAAATTCTTTTTTATAAACTATAACATAACTGTTTTTTATTGTAGTACAACAAAATATTATTAATTATTAGCATAACATCTTACATTGTTAATACTTCCAAAAAAAAATTACTCCTACAAAATGAATCAATTGTAATGGTTAAGGTTTCAATTTAATCAATTGTGCATGGTTAAGGCTTCCCACCCTTTTCACTTATTGTTTTAAAACTGAAATGTCAACCAATGCCAACAAGAAGCCAATGAAGAAGTCAAAGGAGAAGGAGAAGGCAGCTGGAAGGTGCTAACGGTGAAGAAACCTGTTAAGGAGAAGCCCAAGGCAAAGAAGGTCCTAACCACTAAAGAGGAAGGCGCCCAAACCAACAAGAAAAGAGAAGAAGGACATGAAAGAACTGGAGACAAAATGTTTGATTTTTAAGCCTAAAAAAATTAATGGCTCAATATTGCTTCAAAATTCTACTTTTCTTTTCTCAAGACCTAAAATGTCATTTAAAAGTCAAGGTACTTTCATAAAAAGAATTAAATAGTCAGCGATTCTGATGGACAGGCAGTTGAGCCGCTGGGTCCCACTAGGGGTAAGAAGAGAAAGATGGAACTGTTTAGGAAAGTTTTAATTACAATTGGGAGAGAATTAATTAGGGAAATAAATCTAATTTGAATTCAAATTTGAGAGGGATTTATTTAGGGAAAGTTCAGGGGGGTTAATATTCATTGTGTAAAAAGGAATAAAATGGGAATTATTTAGGAAAGTTTTAAATAGAGTTGGGATGAAATTAGTTAAGAAAATAGATCTAATTTGAATTCAAATCTGAGAGGGGATTATTCAAGGAAAGAGGACAGATTTTGGAGGGAATTAGGGAGCCTATTTAAGACTAACTATGAGGTGATTTCAGATTATGCTTGATTTTGCTAGAATTAGTTTTGCATAGGTTGAGTGGGCTCTAACTGACGGCTAGGAATTTGGGAGAGCCAGATCTTTCTTTCCAATTGAAGATCAAACTATATCTTGTATTTTCCTTCTTAATTCTTTTAATAAAAAAGAATTCTTGTGCGTTCTTCTTCCTAAATTTCTTGTACAGTTCTCTGATTTTGCTGAAATTGCATCGACTTCCTATTAGATTCACAAAAAAAAAAAAAAAAAAGTTACTTGGGTGATTTTTAATAGAAAAGTTAACGTTATTAACTTAGAAGGATTTCCATAAATACCAACAATTAACTTAAGGACGAACTTGCACATTGAAAAGACACTAAGGATCTTAATGAAATGTATTTTAAAAAATGCAGACCAATGTGAAGCAGCTCATATATCTCTGGGACTCAGCATGAAATTTATCATAAATATTTTTTTAATCATAAATATGATATGGAGGCAAAATTGATTTGATTGTGATGGAAGGCATCCGGTGTCCCTTTGTATGATTCTGTCATAAAAAAATATAAATGACAGGACTAATCTTCTTAAAGATGATGCAACTATCCTATATCAATCAAGATAACTTACTGAAAGTCTGAACTGATTATGTTGTTATAAAGTCATTAGTTATAATAATAATAATCGTCAAATGTAAATTAGATTCATATAACCAATATAGAATTAAATATGATATTATGAAAACTTTGTTCAGGTGAAGTGCATTAAGGATGAAGATCAAAAAGTGATTTTGTTAAAAGAGGATATTCAACAAAGGTGGATGAGATATTTTGCTAAAATTTTCAATGAAGATTGTGAGAATACAATTGACTTTAGTGACCTTAGCATCTAAATGAAAATAAATTTTTTTGTTTTTGTCGGTGTATTTAGCAAAACAAAAGTTAGAGAGGCTTTAAAAAAAATTAAGTTTGGAAAAGTTGTTGTACCTGATGATATTCCAATAGAGATGTGCAAATACTTAGGAGATGAAGGAATTTCTTGATTTAATAAACTTTTTAATATTATTTTGAAGACTAAAAAGATGTCAGATGAGTGGAGAATAAGTGTGTTGATTCTTATTTTTAAAAATAATGGTGATGCACAAGATTTTGCGAATTATAGAGGAATTAAGTTAATGTGTCATACTTTAAAACTATGGGAGAGAGTTATGGAGCATAGGTTATGACGTGATACTAATGTTTCTCAAAATCAATTTAGATATATGCCGAGTAGGTTTACTAATGGAAGATATACATTTATTGAGAGGTTTAATGGAGAAGTATAGAGAGAACAAGGAGGGTCTACATATGATATTTATTGATTTAGAGAAAGCATATGATAAAGTTTCAAGAGAAGAGCTATCGAGAGTTCTAGAAAAGAAAGGGGTTAATAATGCTTATATTCAAAACATTAAGGATATATATGCAAGAGTTGTTACTTATGTTCAAACACAAGGTGGTTTGACAAAATATTTTACTGTTTGTGTTGGGTTACATCAAGGATCAACCTTAAGCCCATATATTTTTGCTTTAGTCATGGATGTTCTCACTAGACATTTACAAGAGATTGTACCCTAGTGTATGCTTTTTGCTGATGATATTCTTCTTGTTGATAAGACTAGAGAGGGAGTTGAATGTAAACTTGAATTATGGAGGTCAACGTTAGAGTCTAAAGGTTTTCAGTTGAGTAGATCTAATACCGAATATATGGAGTGTCATTTTAGTAATAAAAGATCTAATGGGGGATTGTTACTTTGGGCGATCAAGTCATTAATAAGAGTACACATTTTAAATATATTGGGTCCATTGTTCAAAGTGATAGTGAAATAGATAGGGATATTATTAGAAGAATTCAAGTTGGATGGTTGAAGTGGAGGAATGCATCATGCTTGTAGTGTGATAGAAAATTCCCCCTCAAACTTAAAGGAAAATTCTATAAGATGGTGGTGAGATCTACAATCTATGTTGCATTGATATGGATACGGCGACACGGATACGACACGATACGGATATAGGACACGTCAATTCTTAAAAATACAGGATACGGGTACGGCGCGGATACGGTAATATAATTTATAAATTATACACAAAAATTAAGAAAGCAATCACATAATAATATTTAAAATTACAAAAAAAAAAATGAAAGTAACATCATTTGTAGTCTTGTAGCTTATAATATCAAAATAAAAGTAAGCATTAAATGTCTAGTACAACAACAAAAGCATAAAAATAAATTGTCAAGCACATAAAGTTTCAACTATTCAATAGAAGGAATGATATGATTAACTTCTTGAGTGGTTTGTCTTTGAACTTCTATATCATCTTCAATAAATATCATAGCTTCTAATTCAGGCTCATCAAGTGAAAGATTAGCAATTTCTAATATTCTCATATCATCAAGAGACTTAAATCCATCTCAGAAATTGGAGAACCTCGCTCGCAATCGCAGGAGTAAATACGACGGGTCCTTTTTTCGGATATGCGTGTCCTTTTGAAATTAAATAGTATTTTAATTGGATACGGCAAAGACGTATCCGACATGTATCGGTGTCGTATTGGAGGTGTATCCGTGTATCTATGTATCAGATACAGCACGCCTTCATAAATAGGTGTATCGGTGCAACATAGCCTAAAATGCTTTATGGTGTAGAATGTTGGCCATAGAAAGAGAAGCATAATATTAAGTTAAGTGTTGCAGAGATGAGGATGCTTAAGTGGATGAGGGCTTTACTCTTAGAGACAAGATACAAAATTAGCATATACGTGAAAAGGTTTGAGTAGCTCCAGTAAAAGATAAGATTAGAGAGAGTCCCCTTAGATGGTTTGGTCACATAAAATGGCGGCCTTCTGATGACCCGATTAAGAAAGTAGATGTAGATTTGGCTTATGTTAACAAAGGTAGAGGTAAACTTAAAAAGACTTGGTTAGAAATTATTAGAAATGACCTTTTTTATTAGATTTAAATGCGGATTTAACTCCTAACAGAACAAAATGGAGAAAAAGGATTCATCAAGCCGACCTCACGTAGTGGGATAAAAGCTTGATTTTTTATTTTTTTTTTGGTCTATTCATTTATGACTAATGTTTCACTTTTCTCACCTTTTTATTTGCACAGCAACATCCTATACTACCTACATAAAGTTGGCTAACCCAAAAACATCACTATTCAGGCTTGAGTCAAGCTATGAATTGCGCTAGGTGGTACCTGGTGAAAAAATATAATTTAACATTTGAAAAAATGACTTCGGAAAGATCAAGGAATCAATAAGATAAGATGATGAAACTCTATTAGACCATTGGAGCTTTGTATTCTATAACAAATATTGCTAGCAGTTCAGGATTGACAATATAACTAACGTACCAACCGAGAAAGGAATATCAGCTTCAAATTTACTACGAGAATAGAAAAAGAAAGATATATTGAACTATCATATAAGAATCAATGATGATTTGATGAATGAAACTACAATGAAAAATACTTTTGCAGCACAGATAAAAAGTAAATAAACAAAATTGCAATAGTGCACGCATGAAGTAGATTAGAATCACAGCTGAAGTAGAAATTTCATATATGGAAAAACAATGGAGAAAATAACTTAAAAACACTAACGTGAGAAGTATGGTACCCTTATCATGGCTGACCAGAAGTGCAAATGATCTTCTCTGACTATCTGACTCATCAATATAGTGCAAAGAAGTTGCGGACTTCTTCTTCATTAGGGCCAATAAAAATACAATGATAAAAAGTACAGCTACTACTGCTCCACCAATGGCTAAGCCGTTTATAACTGATGATTTTTTCCCCACGGCTCCAGAAGATCGGTCATCATTATCATTGTTGTAGATATGATAATGGGGTGGTGCTCGTGAAGATGACCAAGAATTTCCACCAGCTCTTTCGAGGGATGGTGAATAGCAAAAGCAGATTGTCAAGACCACGTTAAGTAAATATGCCATCAACAAACTAATATGAGAAGGCGTTTATTCATCATTTTTAGGTGCACTTACTGGAGATTGCCAATCTTTTTAAATCCATCAGGAATCCAGCCAGTGAACTGGTTGTTCTGAATATTCCTGGACAACCATGCAAACAATTCAAGTAAATAGATTAAGTTATGCGTTAAAAAATATGAGTTACAGCTTCTAAAAAACATCCAAACAACAATGGATATGTAAAGCTAGCCGAGTATCATCCTAAACATAAAAAAGGCAATTTTCATTACACGGCATTCAAAAATCAAAACAATGTCACATGAAAGTATAACTATTTCTCACATTTTATCGAGTACTTGTGAATGAAAGCATCTCATGTGGAATTCTAAGTTTAAATTTCACACATGCTTGATCATGGATGAACTATATGCAGCTAGCAAATAAGTATATAAGATAAAATATTAGAGTTTCACAAATTTTCTACAAGGTTCCGCATAGTCCTCAGGTTTACTCTGATTCATTTGTAAGAACAATCTCCAATTATAGAAAGTTTTTCTATTAGAAAAATTCTCTTCGTTTAACACTCCCTCAAGCTATAATATATGTATTAGTTAGTTCCAGCTTGCTAAATAATCCAAAGAAACTAGAAGACCAAGAACTTTTGTAAAAATATCAGACACTTGTTATGAATTAGAGACATGATACGTGATAATCTTCTAAAACAGTAAAATATCTTGAATGGAATGAAAATCAACCTAAATGTATTTTCTCCCTTCATGAAATATAGGGTTATTAATAATGTAAACAACCGTGTCACGTGAAAACTAAACCCTTCTAAGAGAGTTTTTATCCCCATCATTTCACATACATAATGGGTCATAGTACTATATTCAACTTTAGCATTAGATCGACCTACAACAATTTGTTTCATATGTTTCTAACAAATCAGATCCTTTCCAACAAGAATCCAGTATTCATAGGTTGTTTATAGCCTTCAATGTGGCCAACGTTATCAGCATCACAGATGCTTCAACACAGCCTTGGTATTAAGCAACCCTTTTTAGAAGACTTTTTGATATATTTGAGCATTCGCAAATCAAGCTCCTAATATTTTTGCTTTCAATTTTGCAAGTGGCAACTTACAGCACCAATAGAAAAGGATATGTTAAGCCTAATGAAAGATAAATCAATTTGCCAACTAGAATTCAACATCAGATGATCAATGGGCTGGGCTAATCAGTATAAAAAAAAGGTAATAGTATCATATGAGTATCAACAGCTTGCAACATAGAAGACCAATTTCATTAAGAATATCAAAAGCATGTTTACTTAGAGAAAAACATAAGTTGACCTTGACATCCACATCTACTTCAAAACCCAACACAATAAAATGTGAAGAAGATGATGGACAACGGACGCAACATAGTGTAAATTCAGCTCAAAAAATCTTGATAGCAATTAAAATCACTCAAACACATCCATTTCATGAAACGTAATGCATTTAGAGTTTCATAGCATCAAAATTACCAAGATAGAGCCCCACGATTAAATTGCACAAACTTAATCCAAGAATTCAAGACTCAAATCATTGAGAAGAAAAGACAAGAAAAGTGAATGTACCCTAAGAGCAGATAAGTGTCAATGAGAATTGTGGCTAAAGTAGAGGGCACTTGGTGCAAATGTGAACGTGCTGAGGGGTGGTGTTGTTATCGTGAGCATAAACAAGAGTACGATTTTAATAGCCCATATTTTAACCGAGTCAAATAAATTTTTTCAGGAATCAATATAAGTCCAAACCACAAACCGTCTTCACCATAACATAGACATTATAGTGATTTAATCACACTAATTTTTTCATAATTTTTGGGCATTGATGGAAATTCTTAAGAAACTGACATATGTCAGTACAAGTAGTGATTTTGAGACTGTCAGGTGTTTGTTTTGCAAACCCATTTCATCAAAATATTCTAAATAGATTGGGCTATTTTATGGATATTTTTCTATAATTTTTTAAGCCCCAAAAATATTTCTATGAATTTTACACTAAAGACACTTAACTTAATTTAATAAAATCCATTTCATTTAATTCAATCGGCTAAAAGAGATGGAATTAGGAAATTTAGAGATGAATTAGAGGGAGAAAATATAACCTAGGATTTGGAGGCTATAGAGCTATTTTCGTCAATCGACTATATTAGGAGATTTACTCATCTCATTGTAAAGAATCATTATCCTATTTCTAATTTCAATAATTTGACTTTTTTTATTTTAGGTCAAATTTTTATTTTTTTACCAAAAAATTAGGATAATTTTGTATTGGTAAAACTTTCGCCGCTTAATTTTTTATATATTATAGAGATTAAAATTATGAACATTTGAGTATTTATTTGAGATTTTTTCCAATGTTATTTTTAAAAAGCAACGATTTTTATCAATTTAGAAATTTATTTTGACATATAAAAATAGTACTTTAGTTCAATTAAACTTCAGAATGTTGTTATATATGATATCTGATAATTTGGTCTGCTTAGTAAGATTTTTTGTTGTCTGCCGTTAAGACATTTTGACACTTTCTGAATTAAGCTCAAGTAAGCTCAATTATAGTTTATTTACTACAATGCATTGAAAATGAATGTGGATATATGATTGAGTAATAGTTGGTTGTTATTACTGTTATAGTGTTGTGATAATAATATGATAGGTACCACTTGAGTATTTCAAGTGAT